CATTGGAATTAGAAGGCTCTGCCATTTAGTTGATAAACCCATTGTGAAGGTGATTATGTACCACTAAAACAACTTGAAGGGTCAGACACGTGGAAGATATTGGAACAAAGAAAAAAACCGAGAAGCGTAAATAAAAAAGTGGTCATATGAAGTGGCATTGAGGGAAGAGGATGCAACACTATGAGCTTAGGGGGAAAAGGGGAGAAGAGACGACAAAACCGAGAAACAGAAGACTGCCTTAATATGTTTCTTGGATGAGATGTAACTCTGTGCTGAGGATATCGCTTGTCACTGACGAAACCGATCACGATTCAGGAGAAACGTCTCAGAATATATGAAGTCAGTGATAGGTTGCTTAAAATTATGACTATTATGACAGAGAATACTGGACTGGGCACAGACGCTTTTTAACTGACAATGTCTGTCACATGGCGGACGAAAGATCAGCACGGATTCATCGGTGTCACGGCAAGCCAAGCCGAGGTCTTCTTCGCACAATCCAGAAAGTCGAAGTTAAATACAAACCTATTTTGGTATCCGAAGAGGCCAATCTGCGAATCTCTTTCATCCGCCTTTTCAAACGGAATGAAAGGTACTCCAGAATCTAAGATTTGTTGATATTAATCAAATCAACAGATTGCACTATGCAATAAATCGTAGTTTGCGAAGGTGCTGGTGATATAAATGGAGAAGGGTAGACGTTTAAAGTGAAGAACTCACGTAAGTCTCAAGTTCTTTGTGATAAAGACGCTCCTCCTTGGCATGCATAGCACGTAGCATTAAATGTGCCAGCTCTGCTTGTTTATCACGGTCCTCAATCCACTTGCGCTTGCGAGCATTCCCAGATGATGGTGGGGGTGGTGGTGGAGGCTCACGGGATGGCACAGGAGGTTGTGTACGCTTCTTTTTCCCAGCCGAAGTTGAGTTGCACTTGCTGGAGGAAGCCTCAATGGCTCCCCGATCAATCTGTCCACGATGAGGGCCGGAATTTATTCTGGAGCCAACGTGTACCTTCTTTGCCTTAACTTCAACAAAGGCATCTTGCCAGATTGGATGCTTATCAGATCTAGATACTTCAGGATGACACTCATCAAAGACTCCGTCTAATTGGGGAAGTTTGTAGCTCATCGGCATCTGCATAAGGAAAGTGAAAATGAAGTCCAATGTAGGAACGAAGAAGATTTTAATATATAATAGTGAAAATGCCCTAAAACTTGACATAAGTGTGATTGAATATATGTATAAATGGAAATCTAAAAGTATTTAGAATAAATTGGCCTTTTCTATATATAATGCTAAAGCCAATATAATTTAAAAGTTGTTTAACCGTGGTAATATTGGTAGGAAGACCTAGAGGAACGCATCTAGTCTGAAGTCCATAGTATGCATGATAATTTTAGGAATAGGATTGTGGACATGGTACATTCCCAGACATTTTGTCAGCATTGTCAGCAAGCCTTGCCACTCTTAGCACCACAATACAACTCGTCACAGACATGTGAAGCCGATCCTTTGACCAATTGTCTGCTAAACAATTGTGATATCTTTATTTCGTATATAAGTAGTTTCGAGACTACCAGTAAATCAGTTATATGAGACGTATTCAAACAATTTCGTTTAAGGTGATGAAGGGCTGGTAGAAGAATTTTCCCACAATGATATGAGTAGAGCTGAATTTTCCACTGAATTTCACATAGCCTTGCTTTCCCAAAGTTGTTCTCATCAAGAGTGGGAAGACGAGGTGAGAGTTCTCATGAAATGCGCTAAAAATGGGGCACAACATACCCCATTTAAATAAGAAATTGTGATAGTGAAGCGGTGATACGAGGAAATAGGATAGGCGGATAGCCTAGGACAGGAGAGATACCACAACTGTTTAGCAGACAATTGGTCAAAGGATCAACCTCACTTGTCTCTTTGACGAATTGTAGTGTGGTGCTAAGAAGGGCAAGGCTCACTAACGATGCCGGCGAAACCTCTGGAAATGTGCCACGTCCACGTTCCAACTATGGAAATAATCATGGATACTATGGACTCCGGATAAGATGCGTTCCTCTAGGTCTTTCTACCAATATGACAAATCTAAGAAAACAGGATCAAACTACTTCTATACAACGAAAGGAGACTGTGACCATACAAAATGCAACATCTTGGTCTTAGCACCTTCAATATGATATAAATGCACCCTTCGCTTTGTAGTTGTATTCCACTATTTACTTTTGGGTCATCATAATATTATAATAAGCTTATACATTTATGGAGATAAAGAGGTTGTGTAATTTTTACGTTTAGGTACAGATTAGGATCATAAGTATGAAATATCGATCAGCTAGACAAGATGCAATAACAGAAAAATTGATCATTCATTGACGGGAGTGTATTAAGGAAAGAGTAAAAATGAGTGTATTTTAAATATGAATCAAGATTTTAATTCCGTTTACAATCTATTATTGAAAGCTATGAAGAATGATGAATAAACATCCAATCTAGAGAAGTGGGTTGACCTCGTTTTCGCAACTTGGTATGGTTGTCAGAGCGACTTAGTAGAACGCACCTTGTCCGAAGTATTTTGCCATAGTTATTATCATAATTCCCAGCATCAGACCGTGAACTTGGTACATTCTCAGACGTTTCTCCGGAATCCTCAGTGTTGCCATTCTCCACACCACGCTACAAACTCGTCAATTCCTCGATCAACGTTCTGCCGAAAACGGTTACGCAATCACTTCTCTTTCTTCTGACCCATCTATCTACCACTTATCCTCTTATTCCACTCCCGCCCTATCACAACTTCTGACTTGTTTACATTCCACTCGTCAAAATGTGTGCCCTTTTTCGGCCAATTTAGTATGGCCTCATCACGCCTGCTATTCATCCTGCCTCTTCTCTTTCGATCGGCTAATCCGACTCGGGCCTTCCCATGTAGATCCGTTCCTTACTTTGCTAATTGACTGGTTTCACTCGGTTCCAGTCCCAGTATGCGTTTTACTCCAGACGCTATTCCTCAAGGCCCTAGAGGCACTGCGATCTCATTGAGCAGATCGCCTTACTGTTCTTTCGTAGTCCCCGCTCTACCATCAGTTTTCACGGCCCGCATGTTACTTTGTATTACTTTGCCTGGGTAGCAGTTGCCGAAGTATATCCTAGTCACTTTGTCCAACTCCTCGTCCTCAATTGCAGATCCATTAAACGTATGGTTCAGATGATCGTGCTCCTTAATATTCCTATCCTAATCCTATAGTTGTGATAGGACTGGAAATTGAGAAATATCCCGGCATATGAATTCTTTCTAATCAATTTCTTCTTTTGCGTCCCGTTAAAACGAATCACTTCAACATCCAGGAGAGGTAACTGCTCACCTTCCTCTA